TTTGTTTTTACGAGGTAAAAATTTTTTATTTAATATTATAAAAAAATTATAAATTTATAATTTTATATATTATGATAAATATAATATTATAAATATAATATTGTGGTTATTTATTGGGTAGATATTTTTATAGTCCTCAGCCTTTTGGGTAGCTTATAAATCTATCCTCAACGTTTGGGGCGAGAGGGAAAGTGGATTTAGCTATTCAGGAAAACTCAAATGTCTACCACAGTTACCTCCGTTTTGCACATCTCTGTAAATCCCAAATTCCTCTTCACAGAAAGCTTCTGTATCTCATCTCCGGCATGCCTAAAACCCTTTTATTACAGAGGCAGGACTTCAAAGCCTTTGCATTTGGTAGTGAAATGCAGTGGGAATTCAGGGCAGGGAGCAACGGGGGACAGTTTGAACGATGCTTTGTCTGGTATGGTGGATGAACAAGTAGAAGAACTTTTGAACAGAGAAGAAAACAGAGGTTTGCTTGATGGGTTGGAGCAGGCCTCACTGAGAGTGGAGAAGGCTAGGAGAGAGCTTGCAGAGATTGAAAAACAACAGCTTGAGGCAAAATTGTTGAGGGATTACGTCAACCAGCTTGAAGCTAGAGCGGCTGAGGTCAGTTATTTTGCTAATTCTGGCGTTTTCTTTTTGGATTTTATGATTTTTGAAGATGGGCTTTTTGGATATATTTACTGATTACAGGGAGAACTGGAAGTTGACATGGTTGGTTTATGGTGCCCTTTATCGCATAGTTTATTACGATCTTTGTACAAAAAACAAAGAGCTTAAAAATCTTGTTTCCCATAGTGCTCTTAATATATCTTTGGCATTGCGGATGTCTTTTGAATTCCTGCATGTAAAAATGCATCTTGGCTCTTGGAGGTGCCTTGTGGAAGTAAAGTGGAGATTAGTTAATCTATTTTTGGCCCGAAATGGAGTTAGTTTCAATAATTGGATTTCATACTGTGTACCCCTATTTACAGAACAATTTCTTGTTAACAATAAATGAAAAATCTTGTGATAATGATTGAGGTAAAGAAGGAATGATAAAGAAGAAGAGAACTAGGAGACTAAGAAGATACAGTTTGTAATTCTTCATTGATGTGTTTCTTGATAAGCAGTGCAATGTATGTATAGGAGGCTAATGCAATGGTACTAAATCTGAATGGCATGAAGTACTTGACTCAAACCTGTTGTGCTTGACTGCTAACTCAAATAACTAGTACAGCTTCCATTTTCTCAAATTCAGCTCATTTCTAGACCATATCATTACCCATCAACGTTGCTGCACGTCTAAACAAAATGATGCTGTGGTGCAACATTTGGCTGATTAATTCATCTTTTCTGTGGGCATGGTAGTTTCGTTTTCTCGTAGATCATTGATACATTGTGGATTAGTTCTCATTATGTAATGATCATTGATACATTGTGGATTAGTTCTCATTATGGAATGATCAATAATGGATTGAGTAGAGAGAGAATGGTATGCTCTTAGGTTCCTATTGTTTGGATATATTTCTTTATGGTTATTGATATGTTTTGTGCAATACACAAGATTGCAGAGTGTCAACAAGAGATCTCAGAAGCACGAGAAATGGTTGAAGCAGCAGGACGTTCTCTTTTGCTAGATGCGGAAGGAGCTGGTGGTAAAGAAGCTTTCATAGAGAATGGGAGTGGAGAAATTGATAAAGATAAAGAGAGATGGGAGTCTGTAAAAGCAGCTTTCATATCTGCAGTAATTGGCACCCTTGCATCCCTACCTATCTCCTTCACTCAAGTGACCAACAGTACTGAGTTGATACTCCCCATAGCAATCACATCTATTAGCTGTGCCTTATTTGGTGTCACCTTTCGCTACACAGTAAGAAGAGACTTGGATAATATTCAGCTAAAGACAGGGACATCTGCCGCTTTTGGTGTTGTAAAAGGTATAAGTTATGACCAAGTAATAGAGGATTGGACCTTTCAAGGGTTTTAAGTAGTAGGAAGGATATATGGTGCATTAATTAATTTACTAGCTTATCAAATAAATTAATAGAACACTTCTATTCACAATTGATACTGAAAATTGTTTCCAATACAGGTCTTGCTACACTTGGTGGAGGACCACCATTGGAACTAAACCCTGCAAGCATCTTCTCACATGCTTTTGATGGGGCGCTATACGTGTCCCAGAATTTGTTCATTTTTATCTTTGCTGCTGTAGGTTTGGATTTTTGTTTTAAAACGAGGCTTTTAAGTTCCTTTCCCATGAAAAAAATCATCTCCAGAGACTAATTAAAGGTAAGAAGCCTTTAGCTGGAGCTAAAATTACTGTATACACTACGTTGAACTGCAGTATGTGTTACAACAATGATAGCTTCCATTTTCTTATGGGAAATGAGGTACACAATACATTTTGTGTCAAAATTTGTTGGTGAAACTTAAAATTCTTCATAAAACAAGGGCTGTCGGCACAATTGAAATCTTCATCATTCCTGATGTAGGCTTGACACAGCCTTACTTCTGCATTTTACCTAAAAAATGCAAATAGGTGAGCTGTTTTAAAGTTGGACATCTGGTAGACTTTGTTCAGTATCACAGCAGCCTATGAATCAACTCCAAATTGGTTTTACCACCTGAAAGCCATTAACTAACCAAAATCCGTGCCTAACCTCGTAGCTTTGTACTCTTTTACCCAGCTATTGTAAGTTTGTTTATAATCATCTAACCATGCTTCTTTCATTTTGTATTTGTGGAGTGGTAAACTTGATCTGAGTTAGGTCACCCCTTACAAAGATTTGGATTTTTTGGGTCATCTAAAAAATTCATAGTAGACTGTTTTTGCTCAGTTTTTCTCCTCACCTGCAATGTACTACAACTCAAAATTCTGAAGCTGTTTCTACACCAACAAATCTAGATGATTCATGTTTATATCACATGGTAGTAGCCTGCAAGTATCAAATCGACATCTTATTGCTGGTTCTTCTGATACACGCTCATATTTACCATCAGCAACAGCATAGCAATCCAATTTGTATTTACAATCCAAGCCAGGGGAAGGAAATAATTAGTTCCCACGTAGAAAGAAAGAAACCATAATCATCTTGATATTCAAAAGGGCCATCCCCATTTTCCGAGTTTTATTTACAAAATTACTTCCAAGGATGTCTCAGCTCCAGAATCTGTTCGCTTCTAAAAAGAAAGGAGAAATAATTTAAGTTGCTCCTATTTGTCCTAATTTTTTTTCTCCTAATGATTAGGAAGTATACCACAAAGATACCAGTAATTCAAAACCCAATATTTGAACTTGATATTTCGAACTTGGGTCCATGCTTAATCTTTCTGCCCCAACAACTGGGAACCCTGGAGAAGTGTTGTTCATCACATCAATTCCTATATGGATTTGTCTTTTTATTTACAGAGTCAAAACGGATGGCTTCAGTGGAACCCTTTCTTATATGAAATACCATATAGAAACAAAAATTTTCCAACATCAAAACCATACCTTCAACCTGTTCCAGTTCATTCTCATCTTGCTCCGTGAAAAGCAGAAAAATCATTTTTCTTCAATATGTCTGAGAACTATACACAGGTAAGCACCAGGCCAAGAAACAGGGAAGGAAGATGCTCCAGAATTGAAAATTGAAGACATTGATATTATGCTCTTTTAGTTTATACAGTGACTAAATGACTGATAACATATGTCACGCTATATTACAGTTTTAACATCTAAATCAAAGTTAGTAGCTCGGGTGTCAGGACATAAAAAATCTCAGAGAGCTCATTGCGACTTGGATCTGATAATCTTACCACTCATACTGGTGAAAAATAGCTAGGGCCATCATGCTCCTTTACAGTAATGAACGTTTTCCTTGAAGTAGCTAAAACTTTCTCCAAGTCCAACTGTGACAATGGTCTTGGTAGCTGCAAGAGAACATAAAAAGGACCATGGAATCAACACAGATGAACCAAATCACGGATAGCCACAGACACACTTCAAGTTGATAAAAAATTCAGAAGAAAACTTAAGGAAAATGATCAAGCAGAAATTCATGCTTCCCATAGTCAAAGCTTCTAGAATACAAATCTTGTGCGTATTTTGCCAATTAGATTGAAAGGGATCCAGAACATAGAAACCACATAATGGCCAAATCCAAAAAAATCCCAAAACTTCATATGCAGAGAGCAAGATCAAACACAGCAAGAGAAAGCTCTAATTCAAGGAAATCTACTAAGAGTGACAGCTTAATCATCATTATATACTTAAAGACTACATCATATTTGTGAGAAGTAGTTGCTAATTTGAGTGTAAATGTTATCATAATGTTAGCCTTTGTGATACTAATGAATAGTGATTCCATCATGGATATAACTTCAATTCATTTACAAACATGATCTTTTTTACTTGCTAACAAGAAGAAATGAAACAAGCAAAAATTTCCAAGCATTGCAACTATCTGGAAAGAGTAAAGTAAAAGCATGAAAAGTAATCAGATATATATTTACTGACATGACATGTTTTCCCATTCTTCTCATCATTTAAGAAATCCCTCACAGGTAGATATGCTGCTTGCTTGCAGAGCTCAAGCAAATCTGAACCAGTGTAGCCCTCACACAACCTAGCTATGTGGTTAAAATTGATATTGCCATCAAGTCTCTCGTCCTTTAGTATCACCTTCAGTATTTTCTCTCTGTCACTACAGACAGGTCTTCCAACCTCAAAAGTGTGAGAAAAACGTCTAAGTATTGCTTCATCAAGATCTGCTGGACGATTGGTTGCGGCAAGTACCATAACTCGAGCATTCTCTGAAAAATAATTTAAAAACTATTAAGGCAAGAAAAACTGGGAAGTAATCAGCTTTGTGATATGAAGCCACAGAAAGTAAACTATGCATGAGTTTGATGTTTAATAAACATTATGATTCTCTTTTAAACAGAGAATTGAGTTTAGCAACAAATATCATAAAGAAAGTAAGAATCTCAATATATACATATATATATATATATAGAGAGAGAGAGAGAGAGAGAGAGACCTGCAAAATAAAAAAGACCCTGCTATAGACAAGCAGGACATAATTTATTAGAACTAAATTGTTTTAAGAAACAAGTCAAAGTCATTATGTTTCTTAAATTTGCTAACAAAACACATTAATATCAGACCCTTAAAGCCAATTTAAAAGTAGGTATTTCAATATTAGAACTACTATTCTTTTTTCTTTTCTTTTTTTAATTTGAGAAAGAAGAAAACCAATTTGATAATCTGTTTATATAAAAATATTTGCATCACAATTTAAGTACCCCTATTAAGGTATGAGTGTTTATCTTATTGGTAGCATAAAGATGTTTGAAGCTTATGATACATATTGAAAAGGATAATAGTACAAGTAGCTACTAGTTTATTAAAGTAAGAGGGCTCACGATCAGTGGTAAACCCATCCCACAAAGACATGAACTCCGTTTTCATGCTAGCCACAGCCTGATGGTCTGAGTCACGACGCTGCCCCAGAAAACTGTCAACCTCATCAATGAATATAATAGCAGGCTGGAGCTTATATGCCAAACTGAATACAGCAGCCACTGCAATAACATGTATGAACTCAGTAAGCAGGCAGGTTAAAGCAGAAAGAGCAACAAGTCAAATCTATAAGCAAAACATCAATTACTAACATCAAATACTGCACAAAACCACAAACATTATCATATCTCATCATATCTTTATATTTAAATTCATAATTATATTTTATTTAGTTGATTTACTTCTTCTTTTCTTCATAATCTTCTTCTTGTCACAAGAAGTTCTGAACCCCACATTCCTAGTCGATGGTCAGACTTAATGCTACATGCGAAATTAAATTCCCAATTAGGATTTTACCAAGTTTTTGGGCATCGCCGAACCATTTGCTCATCAACTTTGGAAGCCTCACGTTTATGAAAACAGCCCCAGACTCCTTGGCAATGGCCTTGGCGAGCATTGTCTTGCCAGTTCCCGGTGGCCCGTACATCAGCACCCCCCTTGGCGGGCTCAGAATCTTCCCATAAGCGAAAAGCTCCGGTCTTCTCAATGGAAGAATCACCAATTCATACAATGACTCCTTGATTCTATCTAATCCTCCAACTAATTCGAACCCAACGTCTATATGGTCCGGATTCACCACATCGGAAATTATCATGTCCTGCATCCAAAAACCAAAAAAGATTTCTCATTTTTTTAAACATTCTGACTCAACACTTTGAACAACAACCAGATTCAAGTACAGCAAACGAAAACAGAGGAAATGGATTGAGAAAAGAAAAGAACCTCGTATGAAGTGGTGTGGATAATTGGGCGACCGAGGCGCTTGGAGAGGTCTTTCTTTCGTTGAAGGGACTTCTTGGAGGAATCGCGATCTGGGTCCAAGAATTTGGAACCGGCGAAGAAGACGAAGTAACTGAGAGCGGCGCTTGCAGCGTATAACAGTAGTTCCTGCAAGAGGCTCTGGTCGGTGCGATGGCCGCGGGCCATGACTGCACCCGTCTGAGCCGCTCGGAAGATGGAAAATGGGAGGGAATGAAGGAGGCGTATGGAAAAAGGCTATGGAAAATGTTAACCGCTAGCACAACCAATATATATGGTACCGGAAAATGATATCCCTGGGCTCTAGTCCGACGGATTCAGGTTCTTGAAAGGAACTTCCCACTTTTTTTTAAGCTCCTGAATTTTACCATAATTCTCAATTGAACCCAATATCTTTTTTTTTTACTAATTATGCCCCTGAGTAGTCTCATTGTTCAACCATACACAAATTTTACCACACCAATTTTTTTTTATAAGTTATACAATGGGAATAGTTTTTTTTTTTTTTTATTGTCTCAAATCCATCATACCCATATTATTATTTAAATTTGAGATATTTAATATGAAAATTTTTTAATTTTATTTTATACATATAATAATATACTCTATATACAAAATTTGTGATAATCTTCTTTTTTCTAAAATCTATTTGTCATAAAATTTGAATATGAAATATTAAAGTTAAAATAACAAATTCTTTCCTAGTGACACACTCTCTGGTTTTAGTGGATGATTTGACTTTTTTAAATAGTTTTTATTTTTTTCTTTTAAAAAAAATAGAGTTATAAGAAATGCCATTGATATAATGAGTAATCAGCAATGGCCTCGTGTCATTCGAAACACAGATTTTTTTGGGTAAATTTCGAAAGGCCTCTTGTTGACTTCGCTGTGATAATATAATTTTGAATTATTGCCAAACATAACACAAACATTAAAGACGTTGGATTTATAAAATCAATAGACAATAAAAGGCAAAAGACTTTCCCCAAGGCAAGCTGATACTACTGTAGTATACAGAGGAATGGGGAATCAAGAAGAGTTGCAGAGTTGATGCATGACTGCATGAGGTTACGAATCTAGATTAGAGAACTTTTATGAAAGAAAGGAGTGGGAAATCAGGGAGAGTTGCAGACTTGCAGAATTGAGGCATGGGGTTAAGAATCTAGATTAGAGAACTTTTATGAAAGAAAGGAGAATGGGGAATCAGGCAGAGTTGCAGACTTGCAGAATTGAGGCATAGGGTTAAGAATCTAGATTAGAGAACTTTTATGAAAGAAAAGGAGGAAGGGAGGGGGGACTCTATGGTGAGTTGATGGCTGAAAAAAAATGAACAGGAGAAAAGAATGACATCTAAAATGAAAAAACTTGAAAATGGTTGTACTATAAGAAAGATAGTAGAGATGATGTTGATAAAGGAGGTTCCAAATATTGAAGAGTTTGATTCTTGACCTCAAGATGTGGAAATCTTGGGTCATCTTTATCGAAAAAATGAAAAGACTAAATATTGACTAGACTTGTATACATTAACAATTTGCTAGAGGGTCTGAAACTCATCTTTCTAGTGAATCCTGCCTCCTCATACAAGCAAAAAATTGTGTGATGGTTAAGGAAACATTGACCCTGCAAAAAGGGGTGATCTGAATTCTATTTCTAAAGTCTAAACGATCTAAAATTCTATTTGTAATTGATGATTAGATGGAACAGCAAAAAGTTGGTAATCTCCTTCAATCCAGTTACCTACCCTCTATCATGATTCTTGCTGATATAATTTGAATGTCTTTCAACAACTGAAGAATGGCAAGATGTTGGTAATACAGCTAGCTCAATCATGATTTTTTCTTTCTATTGTTCACTCCTCTCATCATCATCCCATCCATCATTTGACTGTTCATGATGTTCTGAGGGCTTTTTAGGAACTCCCCATTTCCGGATTTCATTTCTTGATTTTTGGTCAGCATTAGGAAGATTCATTTGCTCCTCCTGTTTTCTCGCCTATGATATTGAGAAAGGAAACATCCATCAGATAGGAAAATTGAATTGTAAAGGGTAATGGTAAGTAGACAACCTTTTTGTACAACTTTTCTTTACAACTTCTACATGTAATTAAATAAGTGGATGCATAGAATATCAAGGTCTCAATAGAGTGAAAAAAGTCAATCATTAAATGACATGTAAAACTGTATAAAAAAGTTCTCTCAATCATTTTCCAAATAAAAATCCAAACGGAATACCTTAGAAACCCCTTGATCTCCTCTGACATGTGAATCTTTCTTTCTATTTATTGATGAAAAGTGGTCTGTAGCTCTGCTAAATAGTTGGAATCCTTGAATATCTCCATTACTAATACTTGCCTCTAGCTGCAAATAACATATAAGTAAACCACAAGTAATGCATCAACATTATATGGGATCAAGTAATACTCATAATATTAATTCATATTTAAGAATTAAGACATATCTCAGTAATGTTGTGCTAATTAAAATGTGGGGTTCAATGGTCCTAATCAACGTGACAGAAAGATAATATATACCCATGCACTGAAAACTGTGACACATAAAACAAGCCTTTAAACCAAAAAACTATGAGCCACCTGCACTAATAACATGATTTCTTTGCAAAACTAGGAAACAATATTGATAAAAATTTCTACCTGGACATGAATGATGCCAAAAACAATGCTTGCAATAGGAAGCCAGCTCTCTTCTGGGGAAAGTGACAAATTGGATCTGTTAAGTTAAGGGAAACCACAAACTCAGTAGCATTCGAAATGAAAAGCAATCTAAATATTAAACCGATTACTTAGTTAGACCGAGGAAAAGCAGAATACCATCAAAAGAAATCAATTAGCTTGCTCTATGTTGCCTACACAAACAGCAGCAACAAAGAGAGGGAGGGAATGGAATGCTAGGAAGAGATTAAGTCATTTTAAAATGACCATGCTTAAGGCAATTACAGCCATATCCTATGACTAAGAGGATGGAAACCCTACATATGAAATAACGAGAAAAATGTATTAGAAATCAATGTAATTGTGGTGGCTACTAGAAAATAGCACAATGAAAGGCCTGAAAGAAGTCCAAGACATTTAGCAATTAGCACCTTGCCATTAAGCAACCTTGCAAGGAGTAGTTACTAACAAACTGAATACAGGCACTAGCTTGTCAGCGCAAGATATTCATAAACAGGAGACACCAATACGACTAATGCTAATTGGATGGACCTTTGAAGGTATAAAATATTGCCGAGAATCAATAAGGTGTGGTCTCCATTATGTCCAAGCTCTGGCATCTTCACAGGACACAATCTAAAATAAACTTTGAATCTCACAAGTGCTTTGAAGAACTAAGAATTACACATTCAATCAAAGTTTTAGATGCAACAACTAAATCATCCACACCCAAAACTGCACCAAGCCTAAAATTTGTACCTTAGGTAGGGAGCAAGGTAAACAAGAGAGTACAAAGCATAGCGCCGCTTCCCAGTGTCAAGCCAGGCAAAGACCCAACTCTACAACGCAACAAAAGAGATAATTTAATATAACTGCAAGTTAACACAAAACACTTAAACTAGGAATTCAAGTGAAGAAATTGCCTCACCAGCCAATTGAAGTAGGGGATGAAGCTGATGATCCCCATGGCGGCGTACCTCATATCACCCAAATTAATAGCCGAATCACCATCTTCTTCCTCCCTGGAACCCGTAACAGGAAACAGCAGCGAGCTCAGCATAGACACGCCGATTGCGGCGGCAAAGGGTGCGTCTTGCGAGAACTCCGCTCTACATATTCCTCTCTTAGCCTTGTTCTGTAGGTACAAATTAACTAATGAACTAAAACATAAAAAGGGAAAAAAAAAAGCACAGTACTGAATCATTATGATTTAGTTACCTTGTTGTGGGTTTTGCTGCCATGATAAAAGGGTTTAAGGGTGAGACGAGAGAGAGTGGGTTTTAGAGGGTGCGTCGAGTAGAGGGCGGTGGTGGGAGGGGGTGGAGCGGGACGTAGAAGAACCATTGCGCGGTGGTTGCCTCCGCAAAGACTAGGATTTACAAGAAGAAGGGCAGTAGAGGTTATTAAGGTCACTGCCTAGCCGATTCGGCGCTGGGACCCCTTAGAGTTAACCGATTGCGATTTGCCCGTATCCGTAATTAATCTGCACTACTTTCCTCCTTGGCTAGCTTCCTTTCGTAAATCCCTCTCAAGCCGGAGTCGTATTAATTTCATTCTGCAATCTGCACCCCTTTCCTACCAAATTTTTGTAGTTGAATTGTTAATAGAAAGGAATGTTTAAGTAAGAGATTTTAAACTTAAATTTTAAGTTGGTGGGAGGGATTTAAAAACAAAAGAAATTATCTTTTTAACATTTTTTTTATTAACTTTTATTATGTTTAGATACTATTTTTTTAAGTATTTGAAACTCACATTAAATTTTAATTAATTTTAAATAAATCACATTACATATTATATAGAAGTAATTATCAATTAATATTTTTTTATATATAATACTCAAACTCTTTTTTTTTAACACAAGAGAAGCAATGCATTAAGAACTGTCATAAGACATCTACATGACGATCTTATCCAAAGGGATAAAAGTATCAGACAAAGAAAGAACAAAGAACAAAGAACAAAGAACAAAGAACAAACTGGAGAAACAAGGCAGAGTAGACCCAATGCGAAGGAGGAAGGGAGGTGAAGATACTCGAGTAATTTGTGGTCGACTGATCCAGCTATGGGACACCCTTCAATTTACTCAGGAGAGAATGGCGTGAAATCTCCAAGACGCCATGGCAAGGATCTAGACCGATGGTGGCCAGATCTGAAAAACCAACGAGCCCCTACCCAAATCCACAAGAAACAGTAGAGGTTCGCCGAAATTGTAAAAACAAGCTATACAATAACACAAAACAATACAAACAACCAGAAAACAAAAAACCCAGAAGGAGTCACCGTAAAGGGATCCAAAAACCGACAAATCCTGAAGGGTCATTGGAGGAGGGAGCACAAGCTGGCTCCAGCATACTTGAACGGTCGGGAAGCCCAGTGACTCAAGCATCAAAACCCCTTTTTAAAGTAAAATTATAATACTCAAACTCTATATTTCTTATTTAAATAGAATTAAACTCGTCCTACCAAGCGAACGACTTATTGATCATTTTACATATCTTTTTATGTATAAAAAGGTATTTACCTCCTTGCCCATTTTTATCTTCAAATCCCCCTCAATCGGCGGTCTTATTAATTTCATGTATCTTAGGGCTGTTTGGTTGGAGGGAGGTAATTTCTTGCTATTAAATTAAGGGTTACTTCAACTTATACCTTTAATAATGTATTTATTATATTTTTTATTATCAATTTGTATAAAAAAATTATTAAAATAAAATTTATTTTTAAAATTAAATTAAATGATTAATAAAATAAAATAAACTATTTAATTTTTTATATAAATTAATGATAAAAGTAAACAATAAATGTATCAAATTAAAAAATTAAAAAATTCCTTCCATTAGAAGGATGAGATAATTTCTTTTGAAAGTTTCAATCCTTCCACACCCACTGTCAGCAGGACGCAGACCAACACAAGGACACAAGTAAGTTCTACTTCTACTTCGTATCCTGTGGAGGCTGGGGAAGTTGGACGAAGTTAAATTAAAGCTATATCAACAGAGTGCCACAATTTCATAGCGAAAAGAGGATGCATACGCATCTCCCTGAAAATCTTATTGCATTCATAACCACAATTACACAACGAAAATACATGAGAAAGGAGCAGCTTGGAATCGGACACCCATACCATATGGTTGTATAGATCTCCTTTAAGCATATGTCATAAATATAACACTTTACAATTCTCCTTCCTCATCACAAAAAAGAAACTCCCCGCTACTGTGACTTAGCAACGGAGGAAAAACGTTTCTGCTTATATAAAATTGAATGTAAAGGTGTCCTGGTTTTCTACCTGTAATTTTTTTTTATTCATTACCAAGGAGCCCAAAATACTCAGAGAAACGAATCTAACACAATTGCAGGAGGTATATATACTGGATGATGCTGCATTTCACTACTTCTAAGGTTGTCAATAGCCAAAAACAGGTCCCATGTATCATAGCCAAAGAATGGTGGAGAAGACATTTAGCTGCATGATTTACAGCTCTTGCCTGAATATATGGGAGTAGTTTCACTCTAGTTGATTTTTCAACTTTCAGGCATCACTTTCCCTTCTATTGCCATTTTCCTGCTGACCCGATTTGGATCTCAACTGCTGTTGCAACTGTTGACAATAATAATGAAAGCATCAATACAGCTGCTAAGTTCCCTACTTATCAATACTTGGACCTTAACATGCCCTTTCTTCATAGCAGGTACCTTTTATTATTTACTAAAAATGTTATTCATAGCAGCAGGTAACTTTTACGACTCGACATATTAACTAAAATGTCATATATGCAATAAAAAAAAAAAAAAAAAAAAAAAGGTAAACAAAAAAGACCATGCATCTCAAGACTTGATGGAGGAGACAAGTTTAATAAGTCCTTCAAAGGTGAAATGCCAATTCAAATCATAATTTTGGCTAGGAATCAAGAAAACTCAAATGTCATGGGACTCACCTAGGACATAGTGCAAATTTTAATTGGACCCAATGCCGATATCATGAATGCAAAAAAAAACTAAATGTATAATCTGGTTCGAGCAAACTCACTTGCATGTACTTCATCTTCTCAGCAGTCAGTTCACATGTCAAACTGCTCATCCTGAAAGGTGTCAAAAGGGAGTATTAGATTAAACTTCTACATGTAAGAGAAAAGCAGAGGCTTGTTGTAATCAGTAAGTGCAGATGATCAATGACCACCAACCTTGCTTGAAGCTCTGAGATCTGGATGAGCAGTGCACGCTCCCTCTCAGATGCTGCTGTTTCAACCTATTGAGAAAACAGAAAAGAGGGAAAAAAAATGTAATTGTCAGTTACAACACATTGTGCCAAATAGCTTTATCATTCAAAAATTGGAAATTGATCTATTTGTCCCAATGAGAAAGCCATGACCATAAGAAACAGTGAAGTCTGGACCAGAACAACAAGACAGACATTTCTGCGTTCTTTATCATGTATTGCAGTAAATGGAAGCAAGAAGACCAGCACTCAAAGGATTCAATCTGATGCAAGCAACTATATTGCACTACTGCATGATTTGCCATTTAAAATAGCAGCATGACACAGAAATATTCAGAGCTCAACAGAAAAATGAAACCCCATCATCTATGTTTAATTACATAATACCAGCCTTCATTTAAGACTACCAACATGTTAGTACTGACAGAAGCCAGTATGCTGAAAATAAAATTAGTAAACGTTCTAAAACCAAGAATGGGAACCAACAAATTAAACATTCAAGAGAAATTGGAAGAGGTTTCCATTGACTAGCTTGAGACCTAACGAAAATAAATTACATTGTATGATAAATTGTAAAAGTTCCATACACTTCCATTGTCATCCAAGCTGCGAGGAAGTGGAGGCAACTTTCCATTTTGAGTACCTGAAATAAAGTAGGATGACAATTTGTTAGTAACTGTTCCTTCAAATAATGATCATGTCAAGCAGTGTACCGTGACATATCTCTGACATACCATCTACTGCCTCAGCTGGTTGTAAGGTATTTAATAAATTCATGATAAGATCCTGGCATTTGAAAAACAAGCAATATCACAAAAAAAAAAAAAAAAACGTTACTAATTAGAATATAAACAGTTTAAGAGAATCGATCTATTATAAGCAAGATTGAACATAAACTGCTCTACTTTTAAGTATTTACCTGTTGAATTGAGGTCTGTTGAAAAAGACTCTGAAGGTGAGTCGAAAGAAGTGGTCCAGGCAAGTTACTATTGTTCAATTCCTTGGGACACTGGTTGGGAGGCTGGAAAAATGGATTAAGAAGTCATAAATTACAGGGAAAAAAAAAAAAAAAAACCCTTCATTACATTAATGTTAGGTTTATACTTACCAATAAGTGGGCCAACATACACATTATATTCAGAACGAATTTATTTATAATAATTAGTAATTACAATAGATATCAATAACTAATGAGTTTTAACATGAATACTCAATATATTCATACACCTAAGCAGACACTAACAATAAACAACCATGATCACTAGGAACTAGAGTGCTCGTGCACCGTATCTAACCCTCTAGCCAGAATATATTGTAATGAATTTAAAATTAATAACTTTAAAATGATTCAAATGTAGCCAAAGTTTTGGTTCACGAACCATTGGTTTGGACTCAAATGCCCAATCACCAACGCTAGCTGACTTTCTAAGAGGCGAACCCTGAAACTCAAAAGTAAAATAAAAAAGTTAGAAGTGGGCAGTAAATATGGTTAATTGAAAGATATTTAAGTGTAGACTAGTGACCAACCTGTGAAGATCGACGTGGAGCAGCACTTACCGGAATATCCTACAGCACATTATTTAGTTAGCGACAGTTGCACAGAAGAAGAAACATAGCACCCAATGGTTTGAGCATGCAATCTCCCTAGTTGGAGGTCTTAAATGAATTGATCTTTACCTTTACAAGATCTAAATTTTCAGAGGTAACTGAGAATCGCCCTTTGATTTGCACTAGATTACACTTTGATTTGTCGTCTAGAGAATCTCTAAACCCTGTTGAAGAAAAAAATAAACAATAACAACAATTATTACGATGCCCAATTTGTAAGAACAATAATAATAGCTGAGAATAATCTTCCAATACTTATAAAACAACATTTTACCTCCAGATGATTTTATTGGAGCAGATAAGCTGTTTGCAGATGCTCGATTTGGAAGCATCAGTGGACCACTGAAACTTGGTGCTCTACGGACTTGGTTAACTTTCTCATTTGTTGGTTGACTTTCAATCTCAAACCTGATAAATTGGCGAAGCATAAGCCCCAGAGTTAGCACTATTCCTCCATTTACCCATAAATTATTCCTTAAAATAAAATAAAATGGCAATTAAATCAGATATTCAGAACAAATAATCCATATATTACTCTCTTCCTTGACTTTCAACTGCAGAAAGATCAATTGCAATAAAACAACCCAAGTTAAAAGAATACAGTACTATTCAACCAGTCAAAAGAACCTTGACTCAAACCACCATGCTAATACAAAGTCATGATTTAACCACAAGCATTTTGGCACACAAAGCAGCATATATGGTCTTTGCCCCAAGCACAACAACAAAGCATTGCATGTGCAAATGGTATTTTAAGCCATTTCAAAAATCATGAAATAAAAAAAAAACAATAACCAACCTTTCAAAGTTTTGTGCTTTGTCTGATAATGAATGATTGAGCACGATACCAGGAGTGAGTGGCCCACTTTGAGTTTGGCGAGTTTTCACTACTTTAGTCTTGGTCTGTACAATGTCCCTTTCAGAACTTGATGTCGAAACCTCAATGCTAGAAACAGGTTTCTTCAAAGCAACTTCCTCTTGGGAGACAGCTTCTACAATGTCACTTTCCAGATTTTTTCCCTTTCTGTTTAGACAATCAGACTGCTGTGATTGGTCAGCACTTATTTGCCCTATGGATTCAGCCTGATACAGCCCTCTACTCAAATTCTTCTTCAAATTATATTGGTAGTCAGCCATAGCCTGTCAACCAAATATGAGAGATAACAAAAGTTAACACTAAATTTTAAAAGGAGAAACCATATTCAAATGCAATCTCAAGCAATTACTAAATAACCATGTTCGAAAGGTGGCATGAATTTAAATGGTGAAGAGCTTCTAATTTCAGACCTTATCAACACAACTTGATTTCACAAGTGCATCTTCTTCCCTGATATCTTGTGTGTCATCATCATCTTGCACCTAGCAAAACCATGAATGGAATTAGAAACAAGTTAGGGATTTAAATTACCAACAGGCAACTTACTTTCCAAATACACCACATAATTGTGAAATGTCTTATAATAAGTCAACATTTAAAATGGAGCTTACTAGTGATGCTTGGGCCTTCAGATCCTCAATGTCAAAGTTCCAGGCACTAACTCCTCTTTGGTACTCACTCTGCCAAGGGAAGATATTATTGCCACAAGTGAGGAAACCAAATAACATCAAAGCATCAAGTCATTTTTTCATTTAAACAACTTTGACATTATTACCAAAAAAAAAAGAAAAAAAAAAACAAATTTGACATTTGAATTTAATGTTTTCCTCATTTATTCACCTATGAGCCTCTCTTTGATGCAAAAGAACCAAGATGCTGGAAAAGATGACAGAATTAAAGGAGGAAAAAGCAAGGCCAAGAATAAAATTCCCAAGATGACCCACAAAGTTCCCAAATTGATATCAAATCACAATCCCTAAAGCAAAAATTAAAAACAAAATTTCATGCAAATATAAATGAATGGCCCCAAAAATTATTTTTAAACCTTCTCTTGGCCTTATAAAGTAGTTTGTCCAAAACTTTAAGTGCATCAAAAAGAGAGGATGGGAATTAAGGTGCCCACATTTTCCAGGAGGAGTGGTATAACCTTAACTACTAGAGGTCATGAAATGACAAGAAGTTTTGGGAAGACAGCCAAAAGGAAATTTAGGAGCTAACATTGAACAATGTGGAAACCACTTTCACAGGCAGTTGCAAATGCAAAACAAGACTGGCATGCTTGTAAGTCACTGCCATTGGCAACCAATGACATTGGAGTTTAATAATGGGAACCATAGCGCAAAGCAAGCAAAGAGGTACGGAAACAACAAAGCAGTAACAGAGTGGAGATCAGCTATAGTACATGTAATCATACAAATATGGCATGCCTTGGCACAAAAATCAATAAGGAACAAAATTCAACACAAATCCTGCCAAATCTCATTTGACGACATGGCGTTTTATTTAAAATGTAAGACCATTTTCAATTTCAACCAAAATTTCAATCATATAAGTCCTCAAAGTTTTAGACGTATAGGCATGTCATTACTTTTTCTCATTTAAATTACCAAAAGTTTATTCAGAGTTTCAAACACAATTTTTGATATTAATCATCACCTAAATAGCTCCTCACTGTCTTCACCGTATGATGTAGTTGATACATGATAACCAATATCCTTAAGTAATGCATAGCACTCAATTGAAATTTTAAGCATTTATTTTTCCCATTGAAACACCAGATGGTAAACAAAATATGAGAAACTCAAGGATTTATGACATATTTAACCAGAAAAATGGCCAAAAGAAAAACCCACAAAAGAAACAATTCTCAATAAAAAATGATTTGGAGTGACAATTTCTAACCTGTGATAATGCTTCTTTATCTGCTGAAGGCATTTTCTGCAGAGCTAGTTGTGCAGCATCTTTAAGCTGTCATGTTTTGAAGAATTCATTGAACAAGAATGTCAGGAAAGTGAAGGAAGAAACATTGTAATATCATGATAACAAACCTGAAGGGCTTTCACTCGGTTCCAAAGTGGTGGGAGATCAGTAAATAGTGTCTTCACAGAGAGGTCAGGAGGCTTTGCATGCTTGAAAAAAGAGTGTTTCAACAATTTTTCAGCAGTTGGCCTCTTTGTTTGATCCTTCACCAGGCACATTGCAACCATTTCTTTAAAAGACTGATCACAACTGGAAATCTTCTAATTAGAATATTAACATAATAGAAAACCAATTGCAAAATGCAAGTTACAACTTAAGTTATTTTGACCATCTTACAGGGAAACGACATTACTCACTTTAATTCAACACTTTATATTTTATGTACAAATAGTAAATTGAATGTGTCACTACAATAATCTAGCCAGAAAAAACAGCGGTACCTTAGAGAACTTCTTATCACGATCATAATCAAGTCCAGGAGGAGCATTTTGTATGGTCATCAAGAGAACCTAATATAATTGGAAAAGAAAAGTTAGTAACCAATTATTTTTAGAAACAAAGTGAAGCAAGTCTCAAATGCTGAAGAAAATGCTTCCTGTGGAACAGTTGGCTAGCTTATGATGCACACAACTACAATCAAATACCTTCATTGGAGGATATTTTGAAAACGGTGCATGACCATGAGCCAACTCTAGAGCCGTTATGCCAAACGACCATATATCAGCTCTGTGAAGGATATTCAAACCAATTAATAAGCCTACTTCATCTTGAATAAAGAAACACACATCACACTTGCCCCAAAGTTCTGTTTGTTTGTGTGTGTGTGTGTGGGTGTATGTGTGTGATTGGATTGTCATACTTGAAATTCTATAATTCTCAGCAACAAATTAATTAGTTTAACAAAAATCCAGCCTTAGGAAGCCTGCAAACAAAATATGCACGGGTGTAATAAAGAGGGGATATTAGCAGGTCCCTGTCTTCACTGAGGAATTCCTCAACTTGAGATGAATTGCGGACAAAACAATGACCAACGTACTGTACCATGTTAAATCAAGCTGATAAGAAGCCGTAGAATATTAATCCAATACCCATCAAATAAATTATTATCACCAGCCTAGACTAGAAGCAATTGGATGTTTAACAAATGGCCAGGGCTGAGGAACATAAATACTGTAAACTGTAGCTGTCAGACAAGGATACAGTTGAAATTTCTTTCTAACAATTAGATATAAATGCTTAGGCACACTAATTTGTCACCTTGCAATTCAAACCCAAAACCTGCCCTCCCCAGCCCAAGCAGTAAGCATCCATGTACAATATTCTATCCACTAAATGGTCATGTTTAGAACTTCAGATGGTGGTAACAAGTATTTTGGGGGAAATCTAATTTCCTGAACCATTATACATGGGATGAAACTCACTTGGAATTATATCCACTTCCTGGCTGCAAGACCTCAGGTGCCATCCTGCAAATAAAAGATAAATTGGAATTTGAAGACATAATTTTCTTCAAAAAAAAGAACAGTATCAAATCAGAAAATTAGGGGGAAGAGAGTATCATTGACAACATAGCTCACCAGCATGGTGTCCCTACAAAAGTATTTCTTGCACGTTGTCTATCACCAGTATCAAACATGCAAGCTGAGACACCAAAGTCAGCGAGCTTTACTGTGCCATTGCTATCCAGTAGTATGTTCCCAGCCTGTAGTATCAACAATAAAAACAACTTAACATAAAGAAAAGGGAGGGGGGGGGGGGGTTTATACCCATCTCATAAAACTATCTGAAGGCCAATTTTGTACTGACCTTAACATCCCGATGAATATGACCTTGTCGATGAAGATACTCTAAAGCCTTAAGAGTTTCTTTCAAAATAGAAGCAATGGCAGACTCTTCAAATCCATCCGGAAATGCTATCTTCATGAGGTGCAAACAGGAACCCTCTGCCATGAACGGCATGACTACCCAAAGGTTACGGTCAACAACAAATGAACAATATGCCCTTATAACATTTGGGTGATCTATCAAACTCATTGTTTGAGCTTCCCGGCGTATGTCATCCTGGAAAGGAACACAAACCACAAGGTAAGGCCCCCAAGAGGGTCACAATGAAAAGGAAGCAGAAAAGCATTCACATACAACATAAAGAACAATTAGAGAACAGACCTAAACCTTACATACTACTAATTACAAAACTGGCTGAATGATTTCCTTTTCCAAAGAATCCAATAGCACAAGAGAACATTCAGCCAGACTTTTTCCCTACTATTTAATACAATCAAGAAAATATTCTTTTATGGTAGAGCAAACAATTTGCTAAGAACCTGAATGATAAAAATTTTAATAAGCATGATTGGCAGTTCCTGTTTGCAAGTAAAAGACCAAAGAAAACTAGACTATAAGTCCACGCAAATTAACAACAGAGTCACATTAGTCCAGACTTTTATTGCAAATTTTGAACTCCAAGCTGTATTAGTCCTGGCAAATTAACATCAGAGCCACATTCTAGTCAGAAGTGCTATTTGTCTAAGTTTAGTTCCCTGAGAGTTGCATAATCAAAGTTTTTAATAGGGAGTTATCATTTTCAAGAGAAGATTTCCATGGTATTTTGGTCTGGCTCCGTGAATTAGTGCAAATACTTGGAGGGATTGTGTAATAAAGACCAAGTCAGTGTTGTTTAGATTGAATTTGACTCTCCACACTAAGTATGAGTCCTTTTAGCTTCCTGCTTTCTATTTCTAGGGTGAGTTACCCAGAGTGGCCAGCAACCTAACTTTAAGCCTACAATTATGAACTATGATGAGTTCCTCTGTCTTTTTGCGTTAACCAAGCAACACAATCTTAATAAACAACTGTCCAAAACATTTAATCGTGCCCAGTTTATAACAGAGAATCTTGTAGGTCCAACACTGGCAAGCTTTTACAGCCTTCTACCATGGAAGACACCTAAATGGTAACCAGAAAATTCACTCCCTGATGCTTGCGCTGTAAAAAAAGTTGTGCACGAATAAACTGCCTATCATTGTTTGGTTCTCATTATCTAAATGTTGCTTTGCTATTCCTCAAAAACAACGAACAAATATATATATATATATATATATATATAGATTACCAGAAACCTATAAGAACAATGAATTGATGAGCAGCACTGAAACAACATATAGAAAACATCCTACGTCTCATAAACTTCCAATTCAACGGAAGTCCATTAAATTTCAGAAATGAAAATTCAGGACTATACTCAACGGAACCAAGCAATTAAGGAAGCCCGCAGGCAAACCAATCAAAACAAACTCCAATAAATCAGCTTTTATCAACAAATCCAAACAAGATCTCAGCTTTAAACTAATTGATTTGAAATCAAAGCTGACCATTGGCTTTCCAAACAAAAACATGAAAAAAAAAAAAATAAAAATAAAAAAATCACGGACCAGATTACTGTTGCACCGATCGAGATCCAGGCACTTGACAGCCACAACCTCATTGAAAGGAAGATAGATCGCTCTGTAAACAATAGCACTAGCGCCATGACCGGCCTCTTCAAGAAGCTTGTAGTCGCTATGATTGGCCGAGTAAGTCCTCTGGTCACCTCCCATCCTCCCCATAACCTAAAACCCGTCCCTGGAAACCACCAATCGCCGGCAGAGAGAAGCCGGTTTGAAGCGAAGAAGACCAAGAAAAACTCTGTCGGAGCGAGTTTTTTCTGTTAGCGTTTTGGTTCGTTGACTGCCATGAGAAGCGATATGGAGAGAAGGAGACTACTTGGATAGAGATAGAGAGAGAGAGAGAGAGAGAGAGAGAGAGAGGGGATGGGTGCTGATGTGGCAAGAGGCTGCTAGCCTGCTCGATGATTGGGATTGTGACGCGTGGCAATTTGTTTTTTTTTTAATTATTTTTTAAGAGAGTTGAGAATTTACGGTATCAGTATGTACTTACCCAGGTGGCGAGTGAGTGGCTAGGCTAGGTGATTTCACTGATCCAGGGCCTGTTTTATCTAGGCCTTATTTGGTGTAGTTTGTGGTAAAATTTTTTTTATTTCAAAAGTATAAATTATATTAAATATTATAATTAGTAAAAAATATTATAATTTTTTATAATTTAATTTATTTTTTTATTTCATTACAAATTTTAAAAATCCCGAAATGATGTTTTTGTAAAAATTTTTGTTTGAATTTTAATAAAATTAATATTTTATTTTTATATAAAAACTAATATTTTTACAATATTTTTTTTTCAACAAAATTTTTATTAAAAGATCGAGTTACACCAAACAAAAAAAAGTAGTAATCTTGAGCAAAGTTTCGT